AAGATGGGTAAGTTAGTTTTCCAAACTACTGATACTAGAGGCGCGACATCATCGTAATGGGTCAAACTTTGAAGATAACGGGTCGAGCGATAAAGTTTGATTTTGAGTACCCGACAAAAATCGGAAGGATCGGGCCGAGTTTTCGCCCTGCACCATCGTCAGTACCACCATCTGCCCTTTAGCGCGACCTGGATATCCTGTATCATTCGTTTCAGCCTAGACGACAGCGAATATGGATTTTGACACGGTGCTGCTGTCTCTGTCCACGTGAATCGCGCCACTGGGACATACTTTGAGCCTCATCAGTTATCTTTCCGGCGCACTGGCAGACTTACTTACCAAATTCTGGGGAAGAAAATAACTTTGGCAGCACATGGACGACGCGTGTCCTTTCATATGGTATCAATTCGTGTATCCTGATACCCTTCTCTCGGAAGTTTTCTGGGGGCTATCTCGAACCTGTCAGAGATTGGAGCACGGACATTCTCTTCTTCCCACAGGCTGTTGATCTTGGTTCGGAATAATACTCTACCAACAGGGTGGCACACTATTCACTGCTCATGCCAGAAAACTTTTATTGACCGGAGAAACGGCGTCCTTCGTGCGGAATTTAAGCTGAATAACCGGCATTTGAAGCGATTTTAGGGCTGGGGATGCTCAGGGTAATCTGACGACTTCCGTAATACGGATATGATAGCACATAGTGACCGAAATGAAAGATTCCTGTGTTCATTGCGATGGGCCATAAGGGTCTTGTTGGGATTCGTGTCCTTCAAAGCTCGATGCATCTGCGTGGATACCGTTAGTAATACCCCTCACCGTCTGGCCACGTTTTTGACTGAGTACACGATAGACGGCACGGTGAGTCTTTGTGACCGTCCCCCCTTTTCCGCGTCTCACACCTTGTTCCTTTTATCACAATAAACGATGTCAAGATTCAGAACCTTCACGACAAGTTTTTCCTTTCATTTCTACTATTCCGTTTTCGTAGTACCTATTCTCATTCAGCGCAGCTCGCTCGGTACCGCAAGAGCGCCCCTTCAGCGTATCAGGGCGAGCCGTTCAGGGCACATGCGTATTCGTCATGGAAATCCGGGGTAGAGATGTTATCAATGAATTGATATTCCAAGGCTTTGGCGCCGGAGTTTGAGAGCGCGAATGTCGAACACGAGGCAATAATAAGCCTCCGTTTTTCGCGAATCGACATGCAGAAACAACTTACATAAATCCCGTTGAAACTTGGAAACAGCTTGTTGGAGCAAGCCTTGTAGGGAAAATAGCCCCTAATGGCCCGGAACGGTCGATCACGTGATGCCGAGGACCAGCGCAGCCTTCGAAACGGAAGAAGGGAGCTACCCTTATTCTTGTACCACTATCATTACCGCCCACCATTTCTGCATTTCTCCCTTTTCTTCCTTTAGAGGACACTGAATTTGACGTGCCATGTCTTCAACGTCACCTCGTTACCCGCCACCAGGAGGCTGTCCACCTCGACCGCCCACAATTGACGACCTTGCAGCGCGCGCCGTCGTGTCCCAGGATAACCGGATACCTATCAAGTCATTATTGAAGACTGCAGATAATTGGCGCAACCGAGGCCAGACCTATGAGGGGCAGCAGGACCTCCAAAACGCATTCGTCGCTTACGCCAGTGCCGGAAAACTAGCATTGGAGATCATTGTGGCTCACCCTGATTATGACACGGCACTCAGTAAAGAGCAGAAGTCATCTTTGGTGAAAGTGAGTGCGCCTGCTCGTTTTCTTAGGCAAAGTTTCCCAGGTTACGGGCGCTTGATTTATTTCATTATAACAGTGTTCTAATTTGATTGCTTTTTTAGAACGGTGAACGTATTCTTGCCGACCTCGCGGGTGTCAAAGAGAAACTATTGAAACAACGGGAAGAATGGGATCGCAAGTATGGCGGTGCAATGCAACAACCGGATGGGGGTCATACCCCAACTCCGACATCACTTAGTCGTCAAATAAATAGTTCACAAGGAGGACGGACCGACGCTCCGCGTATAAACTTACCTCAAGAACAACAACGTCAGTGGCGCGATGAAGAGGCTATGTGGAGAAAGCAAAATGAGGACATCAATCGACAGATAGCGGAGGAACGCGCAGCCGCCGGGGTGCCAAACGGCTACTCTGATAGGCGTACCACTGCAGTCATGGATGCGGCACGTCAGGCTGCAGGCGTTACACCTCCAGCAGCAAACGGAACTAGTTCGCAGGCAAATAATCAGGAGGAAAAGCGCAGGCAGCAGCAAGAAGAGATGCGTATCCGGTCCGAGCAAATCGCGCAGCGAAACGAGGAGAAGAGACAGAAACAGCTGCAGGAGATGATGCAGCGACAGCAGCAGGCGGAGAGGAACGCGCAGAATGAACGGAGAAGGATTGCAGAGAATAATGCCGCAACGTTTATCCCGCCTCCCCCGCCGCTGCCTCCTTCGTCGTTGACCATGCGGGAAGCCATGAGCGCGCCACCGCCTATGGTCATGCCCGTTCCATCGTCGTCAAGCCAGACCTTCAATGCCTCTTCATCCTCCCAACCACCGTCCCAACCAATTGCGCAGCCAACCGCCCGATTTCCTGTATCTTCCGCATCACAGAATACAGCAATATTGTACCAGCAGCTTCCTCAGCTCCCTCCTATGCCACCACCTTCTAGTTACCCACCGCTTCCAACAACTCGGGGAGTCTCCTTGTCTGCCCCACCCGCAGGCCCTTCGCGGACCTCCGATATTGCGGCGGACTTCTCTCAATTGAATATGAATGATGAACCCCGGATGATGCCCCTTGAAAGTCCGACTCGGTATGAGGGCGATTCAACGGACTCTGAGGCACCGCAGCAATCATCGTCGTATCGTCGCGCAAGGCAGAGACACCAACCGTTTATGGATAACAACCGAACGCCCACCAGGGCGGCCCCTTCTCGGTATGTATTTCAGCACCTATTTCCCTTTTCGTGACCTTGAACGTGTTTGGCTAGACCGTTATATCCGCCACCGATAACCACGACCTCACCGGCACCCGTTGACGGAGGCCCAATACAGTACCCGCAGCTTATGACCCAGCACCAAAAGACGCAAGGATACTCACCTTCCCTCAACTCCATGTTCTCCTCCACTAAAACTCCCGCCGTCACTTCCTCAATCCTTTTCGAGCAAGGATACCCACACAGGTCTCAACCATTATACCCCCCGAATTTTTACCCTCACCCTTCAGCCCAGCCGCCTCCACCAGTCGATTATCCTAATCCCGCTCAACGTCATGCTCACCACCATCATAGTTCGCGTCTTCACCTTTCCCGGTCTGACTCGGATCGAATACCACGGTCAAACTCCTCTTCGCAGGACCTCAAACACGTGAATATGCCCCGCGAGTGTCTGCCGCGTTTCATAGCGATCGCGAAAGTCAACACGATGATAAATCGAGAAACCTGTGGACTCTTACTCGGGAAGGACAAGGGCCACAAATTTGTTGTTACGACAATGTTGATACCGAAGCAGCATTCGACGAGTGACACGTGTACAATGGACGAAGAGGAGCTGGTGTTACGGTTCACTGAGGAGAGGAACCTGATTACTCTCGGATGGGTGAGTGTCGTCGCTGTTTATGTCTTTCTGAAGGCATCCGCTGATAAGCCTCGTCTGATAGATTCACACACACCCCACACAAACCTGTATGTTTTTAGCTGTTTACATCGAGCCACTGTCGCTAATTAGTGTTTCCATTCTGACTAGGCTTTATGTCTTCTGTCGACTTGCATACCCACTCCGGGTTTCAACGCATGCTTCCTGAATCCTTTGCTGTCGTCTGCGCACCCAGACATAACCCCAAGTACGTCTTCTGATACTGAAACGGTTGACTGGGAGCTCATCATCTCATCATTACAGCTTTGGTATCTTTCGCCTTACGGATCCCCCGGGTCTGCAGACGATTTTGACCTGCACTGCTAGAGAAGCCTTTCATCCCCATCCGGATCAACCTATATATACCGTATGTGTCCATTCTGCGGATTTCGGCTCTCGTGATTGACGCATGTCGCCAGGACGCCGATAAAGGACATGTTCAGATGAAAGAGGGTATGTCGCTGGAGATTGTGGATTTACGATGACGATTCAGCCAGTTGTATTATTTGTATCAACGCTGATCTTTATCGGAAGATTTATGGAAACCATCTTTTGACCCCGACGGACAATCTGATGTAATGGCAGGGCCGTCCAAGCCTCATTGCATAGTATGTATAATGGTCACTCCGGGTCCCAAGATATCAGCTGGTGATGCCTCTCACGATGAACTTCTTCGCTCCCACCAAGTGTCACAACAGTTCGAGTTTTTATAGCCTCGCTCTTTTCAGTACGACACTGCCCTAGAGCTATTTAGCTCTGGGTCCTACCTTGAGCTTGAAGGTCAATCACTCTCTTGCCTCCAGATCATGAATCACCCTTACAGCGGGTCGGCAAGTTATATCTACGCGAATGAAGTGCGTCCGATGATCCTTGAAAGCACTCAATCAGGTCTCACTTCTCCTCGAACAGTCCGCGCCTGGGCCGAGCTGGTATGGCCCGTATTCGCATATGAAGAGTTTCGCTCCGGTGGGTGGTTGTTCTTTGTCTGTCGGAATGCGCTGGCAGAGTTTACCTCGGCTACCTACCTTCGTTTCATTTAGGAAATGTCCTCGATGGAGTCTTTCCCGGCCCATTGGGTTCCACCTCGGAGTTCGAGTGGGCATGATCCCGTGGAACAGTGGCCGTGGTTGAGGGAAAAGGATATGTTATCGTTCAGTGATCCGAAGCCGATGTATGTGTTGACGCTGAAGAAATGGAGGGAGACGATTCGGGTGCGTGGTTTTTGTTACTTCGATTTGTAGCATTTCTTTTATGTTCCATTGTAGATTCGTGTATTGTGCGCGATGCGGAGACTTCGAAGATGTTGGTATATCAATCATTGATGTTAACCGATTATTATATGTAACAATTCAAAACCTTATGTCGGCATTAATGGGGTAGTGGTAACCTGGGTCGTTGCCATCTGTATATCGACCCGCCGGGGGTTCAATTCCCCCTTAATGCATACTCTTTTGTCAAGATATTCTTTTTCATAGATTGAAATGTTGGACAATGGAGCATCGGAAATTTAAGTTGGAACTTTAGGGTAGTGCATGAAACCTCCATGGAGGTAAGTAACTGTTTCTTACTGCCCCTCGCAAGATGGGTAGTTTTGCTACGGTCCGGGTTAGTTACCGTTACTTACCTATCACGTGCAAGTCCATATGACTAGCGCGCGGCAATTGCAGTTTTTTTTCAGGTTCTCGGTCTGTATCTTCGCGGCTTCTCCGTCGTTAAAAAAATACTCACGGATTAAAATTTAGTACCAGTCTTTTTGCCTGAGCAATACCTTTCGCCGTCGCCATATCGCTGGAGTACGCCATCTCGCTGACAACATTTTCCCTTCACGTCTTCTCAACAGCAATCTCATCTGAACCACACGCTTCCACTCATCTCCGCGTTCCAGCACGTCCACACAGCGCCGCACTGACTCGTACGCGTACTCCCCAATTTCATCGTCATTAACAAGGATGACGTCCACATCAAAGTTTGCACACATGAGCGAGATTCTTGCAGACCTTTTCTGCACAGGCAGCGTCTGTGGGAGCCCCAACAGGAGTGGCATAGTTTCCAGATCAGGCTCCCGTAGTTTGAAGGCTCTCTGTCGTCGAGGCGTCCGTGGCATAACGGAGTCATCATGAGGTCGCCACTCCGCTAATCCGCGCACACTTGAAGGGAGCTGAAGAAGATAGAACGAGGAAACCGAGCTCATCAGCCGATTTCGCAACTTCGGAAAGCGGCTGAAAAGGTGGTAGGTTGCGCCCACGACAAAGCAGGGATGAACGGACGACGTGACCTTGAGAAGCGGCAGGGTGGAGGGATGATGTTTTGACAGTAAGGTTGAAGAATTGGGGAAAAGGATGCGCACTGAGCGGGTCAACGTTGTAGGAAATAGCGTGTATGTGTAATCTTTCACTGGAATAACCTAGCATAAGATATAATTAGCTTGGTAAAAGGAAATCTGAGGAAGTATATGGCCCTACGTTCGTGAACGTCCTGCGAACGTCAGGACAGCATTCTTGGTTGTACTCCTGGAGGTCGTATATGCGCTGAAGACACTCATCTGTCGGAGTAAGTGTCCATTCCTCATTTTCCAAAAGCTGCTTCATATCCGCACGTACTAATGGTAAGTCGCGTAAGGGCCTAAACTTACACAGCAGAACGAACAACTTACATCGGACGCGATTTAGGTGAGATTCCTGTTCAATGTCACCTCGAGAAAGACCCCAGTAGAACTCCATTTTGTATACCTTAAGGGAATTCACATGTTAACATTTGAGATGGCATCCGGGGGAGAATAGATGTGTGCCACTGACATCTTTGGGGCGTAGAGTAAAATAATAATCTTCCAACCCAGGGAGAGAGTGAGTGGAGTCAACCGTAGTGAGACACTCTAGTGGAACGTAATTATGGGGTTCCATGGCAACTTCAGATCTCGCGGGTCGTGGTGACAAACTTGAGGGTCAATGGAGTCTGAAAATAACTTAAAAAAACCAACGTCTGCTTTTAAGTAAAAGGCGCAGACAAGTCTCGTGATCTACGTAGCTTCGAACGAAAGGTAGCCAATGCCACTGGTTTGTAGAAACTTGAGCAAATTGAGGTTGAGTCATTAGAACCAAATCGCTAGATTTCATCTAGGTGCGTGATATGTAACAATAAAGCCATAGTGCGACTGCCAGGGAAGGCCTGAAAACTTAGCCTAGGAATACAAGAACGAATTCCAAGGCGAAAGCTTTTTAACTCCAACGCGATGTTGTCATGTTGATACTAGAGCAAGTTCCTGAGCGCGAGCGAAGGCAGTCTGTATCATCTGTGTCAAAATACCGACTGTGGGATCCATCTGCTGTCGTTGTGGAGAGCAGATGTGCACATTTGTGGAACTAGTACACTAATGATACTAAATTTGTAATTCCTTATTGATGAAGTGATTATGACATAGAGCTAATGTTGGGCTCTTAGCACAGTTGGTAGCGCGCACGCTTTGCACCTTTGTTGATATGCGTGAGGTCGTGGGTTCAAATCCCACAGTGTCCAATGTACTCGTTACTGGCAATTGCTTTTTTAGTTCAAACTTCGCTGAACGCTCACTGCTCAGGCTCAATTCGTTCGTAAATACGAGTGTAGGGTAGCATACGTAATCTCTAGGAAGTAACCGTTCATTACCGACCCCTCACGAGGTATAGTTTGCTATGGTCCTCCAGGGGTAAGTTATGGAATTCTCCTCCCGGAGAGGGAGGTTTAAATTACGAGTCTTGACGCCCGGCAGGGCTCTGGGCTGGAGATGTCTTCCCCATCGGTGAGTCCATGTATCGACCGCGTCTGGCCTGTATCCCACTTTCTACTGAAACTGTTACTTATATAACTGGTACGACATCTGACCAGATCTGCCTCTTCGCGTCTGAACAGTGAATACCTGTTCAGCGTCGACTTTCTGCAGCTGGGGTAACATTCTAAGAGAGTAAGTACTCAGGACGTCGTAATGATTGCTATGGGCTTCGTTTCTTACAGGTCAAGCAAGGCGTGTCGGTGACAGGATTACCCCAATAAGGAGTGATGTTTGTTAATGATACCGGCAAAAAACCAGAGCTGATCGGCCTCCGAGAGCACTGCTAATAAGTCGAGATAGTTAGAAATTTGAAGGCATTCTTATTGAAGCCTTCGTATTACATAGATGGTTAGGAGATATCTGACGAAAGGCTAAAGAGTCAAAATGAGTGATGTCTACTGAGTGCTCCTGGTTTGACTGGATATTATCCTGTCCGGTCGCGAGGTAGTTCCGAGCATATTCATTCCTGAGATGATAAACTCTACTAGGAAAAGAGAAAGGTGGCAGATTTTGATGTATAATCGATCAAAAGGCCACCCCAAACAATCCAGCCAAGCTGGCCATTGCGCTTGAAGTTTTCTGTAAGAGGTGTCAGCGCATGCCATGGACGGGGGAACGAGGCACTCACTCCAGCAGCTCTCTGGTTTATCCAACTCTACAGTACTGAATTGCCAAACGAGATGTGTCGCAGTTCCACAGACCGAAAAGACAAAATAACCCCAATCTTGTCGATTCAGGCACCCTGCAACAAAAAGCATAGCGATGAATATCATAGCACACCCGACGAGCATGGGCCTGATCCAGGTTCCGAAGAGAATAGCGGTGGAAAGCACGCCTGTTTTTACGTCGTCGATGATATCTTGACAAGCGTATATTGTGTCTGTAAAATGTGGTGAGATTCAGTATATTGTGCGATCCAGACGCAGTCGGCTGACCGTATAACATTGTCCAACTAATAGACGCTTGTGAGCGACGTCGCCACGTACCGGCAGACGAAGAGAAACGTACCACCAACAACCAGCAAGAGCACAGCAGAGAATGTCGTAATTAAACGTATTCGCAGTTGACACATATGCGGTTACGAATCCAAAGTTCATGGCAAAGCCCAGCCACGCTTGCGGCCAGTATGTTACTCGTTTGAGGAGAGGGTATATCGCAAATCTGGAAGGAGCGGAGCGAGAAATATTTAGGCTCCAGCATGATTGCAGATAGGCTGCCCTCTTACAGTGGGAGAAGCTGGAACAGGGCCGCGTAGAAACTACGAATAAAGTTAGAATTAATAATTGAAAAGCATAAACTGGTAACTGACGCTAGACCATCAATCGTGAGATAGAAGAATAGAATTCCCAGCGCGTATTGTACCAGAAGGAAGACGGTCGCTGCGAGGACGGTGATGCGACCACTTGGAAGCGGCCTATTCTTCGTTCGCTCTGGAAGTGGAACCATGAGATCTTTTCAGTAGACGCGGGCGGAAGAATCGACTAACCGACGCCGGCATCCACATTCATATCAAATATGTCGTTGACGGTGCAAGCTGAGCTACGTATTATAAACGCTCCGACAAAGCATTCAATGAGTTTGTACGCATAAGAATGCAGCGCAATCGCTGGGGCCATTGAGTATGACGCCATGGTCAAACCCCAAGCTAAAATATTTCGTCTCAATCAACGTCACAGAGGGAGTTTAGTCGCGTACCCAAAGGCCAGAACATTAATATCGTACCCGTGGGCTATGAAAAATAAGGTGAGTGACTCCTGGCCTGCAGTCCCGATAAAGACAAAACCAACCTTGTCGAGACGAATCAACTCCATATATGGGCGATATTTCTCTGGAGCAATGTTCAGAGGAAAATTCAGATTATGCCTGGTTCGCGGAGCCTGATGGGTGGGGAGCTTTTCATGGTCAGGAAGAAGGGAGGTGGTCTCACTGCTCATCGCGTCGAGGAACGGGAGGCAGGTTTACAAGTTATATAGAGGGCTTGAGTTGGCAGGGCGAGGACACCGGGTCGAAGTAGTTTATATACCGTTGGAACAAGGAAAGAATCGAGCTATCCCATAAATATCGGACTCCCCTCTGACCCGAATCGAGCTGCGTTAATCTAGCACGAAAGGAACAAAATCCTGTGTCGTTATCGGTACCCCTCCCGTGGCTCTAGGACGCTCGTGGGTCGGAACTGGGATGGCTTCAGCTGAAGGTTGCCTTTGCCCAGCCAAGATTCGACCTGTCAGACTTTGAGTTTCAACTCCAATCACTGACCGAAGAAACGGTGCAAACGTTATCCGCCACCGTCTGTGTACTAAGGTGCTCAAGACGTCGCAGAAGGGTAGACTTGCGATGGAGAGAAACTTTAGTAGGCGCAGGATCAAGGTCTTTACTGACCTTGCCGCCAGTAAAGACGTTCCCTGAGAAGTAATATTATGCTTGCGTCTCGGACCATCCTTATCCAGAAAGTCAGTTCAGCGTATCCTTTCAGAATGGGGCCGGCGGTTAGCTCCGTAACTGTTAACAATCGTTCTCTCAGAAGCTCGTTAGCGCAATCCACATCCTATGAGGGTTCACAAGCCCGCCTAGCTCGGGTTCCTGAGAGAACACGACTTTTTTCCATGGCATGCAACGGAAGACAAACGGCGGCAACAGGA